ATACAAATTCTCAAATCTTTCTTTCTTGGGGAAACTTGAAAACAACATCAGTGAACAATTAGCATTTCTAGAATGCAGAATTTCAAATACTTATAACCATCCTACTTTTTAACATTCTCTGTCAAAACACTAGCATGTATACCAACATGCAACTTAAATTCATTATTTTTTTTAAAATACAATTTTGTATACTACTTCTGTGCAAAAGGAATTCAGCATTATCTGACACACTGTTGTATTCTTGACCGCTACATATACCCTAAAAGAGCTTGAAGATTCTTAAAAACAGATGCAATCGATTTCTTGGCTTTGCAACTTCTAGCATATGCTGGCTCCTTCTGGTTGTCAGAGTAAGCAACTTGATGTACAGCTTGTGTTTCTTTATAGCTTTGAACTCTCCATAACTATCTTTTGGGTTTTCAGCGAACCATACACATTCTCTAAAGTCTGTGACATGTTACTTCTGAAATTCTGTAAGTATTACCCAGGCTTTTCTTTCTGTAATCTTTTCTCTCTTTCTTTCAGAAATATTTTTCTTCTGTATTTTCACTCTCCTTTTTGTACTGTGATATATTGTTTTTTAACTTTGGGGGCTGGATGCTACCCTGTTCAACGCTTAGCTAGAAACAAAAGTGGAAGTAGTTCAAAATAGCCATATTCAAAACGGAGTAACCTTTTGAATCCTTTGTAGTACTCCGATTGTTTGCAGATAAAGAATAAACCATGGTTTCAATCTGACCAACTGCTTTTACCCTTATCAGAATTTTAATTTACTTCACACCTTCACAGGAGGTGGATACAGCAAAGAACCTCAAAGGAACCACAAGATAAGGATAAAAGGTAGCAGCCAATATGGTAGCTACAATTTATAGAATATTAGGTGCGTAATCACTGCAAATCTTGTTGTAAATATCCTTTGAGAATAGCAAGTTATAGAAAGATTCACGAAAACAGGTTAGTCTGGGATGTTCAATCTCAGGGGGAGATGAGAGAAAGGTGCCAATGGGGTGTTATGAATATGACTTTTTTCTTTTTTTTTTAAAGTGTATATGTAAGCTTAGACATTCAGAAAAAGAACAGTTTTCATCGTACCATGCCTAGATCTCAAGTATAACTATATTTGACAACTGAAAAGATAGCATCAGTGTCGTCAAAATCTATATATTCTGACCAAAGTCAGAAATTTGCCTCCTAAAATGAGCAGTCATTTTGGAAAACGCTCGCCCAGCTAAGAATGGAAATTTACATTGTTCTTTCTTACTCCAATTATCCCCCTGCTCTAAGTGGAGGCCACTTTTAAATACTCCTCTTCTCTAGAAAGATCACCTGCTTAGCAAGTGACAAAGGCCAAGCATTTTGAGAATCCAAACAGCCAGTTTGATTTGTTTAATCCAAACAAGCAGAGCTAGATTTCCAGCTCACAGAAATCCTTCTCTGTGCCTATAGCTGCCTAGTGACGTTTAACAAGCAATTCTTGAGAAAAGACTTTCCTTTCTGGGTGCACAGCAAGTTATGCAAGTGGATACTTAGCATCTTCTGAAAGAGAAGGTTCTCCTTTATCTGAAACGGACTATCTGACAGCTTCCTGTCCTTCATAGTTGTTTATTTTATTTTGTGACAAAGCCGTGTATTTTGCCTGATCACATTTTAGTTTGAAGATGGCAACCAAGGAAATATTAACAACTCTCTTCTCTTCAAAACATGCTATCAGTCTATGAACATTATAAAAACAAACAAAAAAACCCCACCCCAAACCCTGAATATGTTTTAGAGGCTACTAAACAAAACATACCAAATACTGAACGCCAGCCTAAAAATAAAGAGTATCTTTTTTTCTTGATGAGCCAGAAACCAGTGTAATCTGTCTGGTAGATATACAAAAAGCTTATCTAGTTCATTTCATGTTCATCTAAAGTTGATCCACTTAATTATTTCTTCTACTAAATAGCGCACTGCTGCTTTTTTCTGTTTGGAAAAAGTGTCAGTGTTACAGGAGAGAGATTTTATGCTCAGAGGACCTGGGATTAGAAGCACAATCATTCTGATATTGGAGATTTGTGTTTGGAGGCAGATTGCTTTTCAGCGTGTAGAAAATTTTTATGCTGACATGCATCTATGTTATGAAATAATTTCAAACTCTGGGATGGTAGCAGATGTTATAGTCCAAAGAATCAAAACTGTTGGCTTTGGATAAAAAAAGCTTCCAGTGTTATTAGAAAACAGAAGAAAGCACATGGCATAATAGGTCAATTTAATGGCATTGTTTGCAGTAAAGCTGACATTTCAGGCATAATCTGCAGTGCTCACTTGAAGTAGGCCATTTTACTGGGCAGAGAAGGATTTGATACATTCTTTTATATTACTGTGTCAAATTGGATTAGAACATAATAAAATGGAGAATGTAAAATAAAGGCCTTTGGGATCACTGGTTATGCAGTGTAATAAGATGCACAAGGAATTAAAATAAACGTACTCTTCAGAAGTATGACAAACTTGTCATGGGTAGTTGTGTGGACCTTCCCATTTTCTAGTACGTTTCCTCGGTTTATCCCTGCTGTGCTGCATTCTTTGTTGATCTACATCGAGTGAATTTCCTTCAGTAAGTTTGCCCAGCATTTCTCTGTTTTGCAATTATTATTATTTGAAACAACAAGACATTCAAAGATAAAATGATTGAAAATCTGCTACAGTTGATACAGTTTCTGTTTGCAACCATAAACTGCCCAACGATACTCAAAACTTTGCTGAAACTTATCTCAGAGATTCACTAATACTGCCTGCTGGCCCGGTTTGGAGTGCAGCCACAGGATATTCACTTCAGCAGCTTCACTGAGTAGCCCATAGGATTCAGCTTCTGCTGTCAGCCTGTGAGATATCTAAGCTACACAGATAAGAAAATGTGCTGAAACTTGGTTTCTTAAATGATGCTAGGAGGGTTTCTCATAACTTTATGGAGTAAGTTTTAACCTTTGAAATTCTGGAATTTTAATTAGTAAGCTGAGTACTCCACACTTTCATTTATCTGATACTCTTATCTCAGAACTCACATTAGCCAAAATTGGATTGTGTCTCCTATGTACTACGAGTCATTTGCTTTGAAAAGGTCTCTGTTAGCTGAAAACCCAGTGACAAGTCTAGATGGCAGGTCATGTGTTTTGTTTGGATAAACAGGGTTACTCTTCACTCAGGAATTAATATTAGTAGGCATTAATAAATGACTCATGTTTCAGTCCTGAATTTAATTTCAGAGATTACAGAAAATCTGAATACAAACTATATGCCGCATCGCTTTTGAAATTTGGAAGGGCAAGTGCTTAAAAGGAAAATACCAGAGCCAATCTTTTGCCTAAGTTAAAACATGGAAAAAGGACTAGTACATATCAAAGTAACAGCAGCGTGCACGTGCATTCAACTTTCAGTTGATTGTAAAACTGAAAAGTTGGTCTTGGGACACTTAACGCTGTACGAAGGCAGGCTTTCACTTGGAAGGGCTGTCATCTGCTCTGTCAGATTCTTACTTTTCCCTTGCAGTTGAAGAGCAGTAACTTTTCATAGAAAAGCCAGGTTCATCTTTCTCTGACACTGAGTGTCCATGCCCCAGCCTGTACCTTAAGTGAGGGAACTGCTAGTGCTCCTGCTGCAGTTCCATCCTAGTGTGGAAGAGGACTGTGCAGCGGGTGCACAGGACGTTCCACACATGGACACGTAACACTGACTAAGAATACTGAGAAATCACCTTAAACAAGGACAATATCAATTTTCAAAAAGAAATTCCAAACAAAAAAATGGATTTAATCCACTTGGTCTGTAATATGGACATGCTACTAGACCACAAAGGTATAAGGTGAGAGTCTGAATTCAGGAAAGTATTTGTCTCAGAACATCTTTTACTTTTCAAGTGCTTCTTACACTCAGCTAAGCATATGCTTAAATGCTTTTCTGAACTGAGGTCTAACAAACTTACACTTTGATCTTACTGTTAATGATGTTTGGTTTATTTGACTGAAGTGTGCACTCCATTTGAGTATGGTTTGACATAGCAAATGAAATATTTGCTGACTCTTGGCACTAGTAGCTTCACCTTTGTGGATTTCTGTAATGTATCATTCTCATTGAAGGGCTGTTCTCCATAGGATGCGCTTGATTAATTTCTAATAGCATTACAAGGAGGTTGGCTCATGCTTTGAGAAGAGAAGAAAGCTCTTTCTTTTCCAAAAGTAACTTTTGTGGTTTTGTACCTAATCGCTAATGGGATTCCTGTGTAGAATTTGATACCAGAGACTTTGGGACAACAGAAATACAGACTTATTTTATAAGTTTCCCATTTCCCTATGTAACAAAGTGATGCCAAACAAAGATTTAAACCAACTCAGTGTGTTTCGTTGCTTTCATGGAACATGTGCTGAGGTGGTTGTTAGGTTTTTAAGTTTGTATAGGCTTTATAGTTAATAGATTTTATAGTTAATAGACTTTATAGTTTTTATAGCTTTAATTTTTATAGGCTGACCAATGACGCTTGTGTATTGGACAGCATTGTCTGCCCTCTGTTTGGCCAGATTATAGATGTGGTGTTATCTCACTTTATGAGAATATAGTCTCTAGAAGGACTGAAGATCATTACATAAGAAATCTTGAATCTGCAGTTCTGGCTGATTCGTATGCTGTAATTTATGTGGCAAACAATGCAAAACACAGAAAGACAGGCAAAATAAGAAAAGTAGTATTTCCTTAAGTAAGTTTTAGATTAAGTAAGATTAAGAGAAAAACATTCTCCAACTTTTCTACCCTATCAGCAGGGCAATGACTAAACCCACTGTCTCCAACGTAAGACATTCTTTAATAGATCCAAAGAACGAGAAATGAGGACTGAAAATGTACTGTCAATTTCCTTGGATCAAGGTCGAAGCTTGAGGAAGAGAGAGAATAGAGTATTTTCCTTCATAAATTTATCACACAATTTAAGTTATAATCAAATTAAGGAAAGAAAATCAGAAACAAAAAATCTCAGAAAGAAAAATTATGATACTTACATTGGTGACATATTCAATATCCTTCCAAATATTACATTCCCTGGGAAAATCTGCCAAATCTAAAAAATTATCCACTATCACTTGGCCAATCAAGTCGTGCCTGGAGAATCTGTCAAAGTCATACACAGAGAAATGGAGTTTCCTTGCGTTCAGATCATTGTATGGGACAGTAAATAAAAAAACTTCATCAAATACTGGATTTAGGGTCTTTCTGTGCACTTTAGTCTGGTGTTTTGTTTTCCTATCAGGAAGCAGATATATCTTCACATATGGATCTGACGTTCCAGAGAAGTCCTTTGCTGGCAGGTTGATGGCCTTGTGTATCTTCACTATCAGCTGCTCTAAATCACAATCATATTTCAGAATAAAGTTCAGTTTTCCGCATGCCTTGCTATTACTCCTCCTGCCTTCATCTGTGTCCGCTGATCTTTGTTTATATAGCTCTGGCTTAATGCGGCCAATCCCCGTCAGTTGCTCCTGTTTCTGAACCTGCTGGATGTTGAAGTCAGGGTTGGAGAGGTTGAGCTGTCTTCGGATTGAATTATGCCTTAAGTGAAAATGAAAGAATTGAAATAGATTGTGTTGAAGATTACAGGAATCTGTGAACACACACACACACTGAAGATCCTGTTCTCATTTGGCATGTTTTTGTAATGTATGCCAGGGTCAGGTTTTTACTGGCATAAAGTGATAAAGCATGATACTAACAGTTGTGAGAGCTCACCTTCAGCATTAGACTGCTCATATCACATAACTGTCTGTTCCTATGTCTCAAGCTAGTGATCTGCACCCTCCAAACCTGGCTGAAGAAAGTAACAAATGCAAATTCATGGCCATTGCAAATCCAAAGGATCTGCCTTATTGGCAAGTATAATGTGATACAATAAGAACTGTAGCTGTTCTTATCAGTCACTATTTTCAGCTGAATCCTTAGGATTAATGCCTATGAAATGAGTTACACTATGTAAAGGGCAGCAGGATCTGGCCTATTATGCTAGCTAAGCTTGCTGATTTCTGATTCTAAGATAAAGCTGGACAAAGGAGGATACTTTCCTCCCTTGCAGACATCTCTGCATTTTAATTACTTGTTGATCTCTACAACTACTTCATTTACAAGTGAGCTGTTCTGGACTGAAATTGTTTGTGACCACCCCAACAATTGTTTTGTTTTTTCTCTCATACCTGATGTAATAAGCTCTGTGGTACTTTGGCTGAAAAGCTCCTTTAGTTTCATTACTCTGAGGAGAGAAAGTTGCTTTTAGATTCGGTCCAGTGAAATTTATTACCTGGAGTCACTCAGTTATTGTGATTGAAATTTCCACTTCATGAGATGATAACAGAAATCAAATTTGCAAACCCTGTCAGGGTAGTGGGATGTAAAAGTTGGATTAGGTAAAATCCTAATCTTATATGAGTTGGTTTCCACTTTTTTGTCCTATTCATATGCAGCAATCATTAGTGTATTAGAGTACCATAAGCTGTGGTTGAACATAGAAAGAGCACATGGAAAATGCTAGCACAGGATTAGTCAAAGCTATTTATGTTGAATGTAATCAGCAATAGTTCCTCTGCTATCATTGTTCATTCATTCCTTGTAAATATGTGTTTACATATGCTTAAACCAGAAACAGCCTCTTAAACCCTGTTTTTTTTCTCTTGTTGCATAATAAATACATAATTTTATAGCTATACATTAGTCATTTCCACAATAAAATATTATCATGACACAAAAAAAGATTTATATTGCTCAACCCTTAAGCTCCTCATCACTGTGGGAGGTGCAGAATATCCTGGGGAGGAATAAAAAGGAGGGCACTGGAGAGCCAGCTCAACAAGGATTGTAGCAGGGGCAGGTGCCTGGTCTCTGTGGCCACGCAGGAAGCCACAGCTGGCTGCTCAGTTGTGCCAGAAAGCAGCAGAGACAGAGGTGAACAAGCAAAGGATGCGGTACAAGGAAGATGGGCCCCTCCTGCTCAGTGAAAGGGTCTCTTGGAGAAGACCTTGGCAAAAGCGAGGGGCAATGAAGGAGAGGAGTAAAGAGCAAAGCCTGTATCAGCAAACGGTATAGGGCAGGGGTGGGACCTGGACAAGTCGTTCCGTGGTGGACAGAGAGCCACTGTAAGACCTGCTGGAGAGAGCTGGACTGGGAACAGTTGCCAGAAGAAAGCTGTCCAGAGATTCACAGGAGTGAAGACGTTGTCCATGCACTCAGGATGCTGAGGCAAGTTTTTTACGGATTGGGATTGCTGCTGCTTCTTGTGAGATGACTATGCTGTGGTGATACTGTGCATTTGTCTAAGTATCAGAATTTCTGCCCTGTTGTAGCAGAGAAAGCCTGTATCTGACTCAATACTTTCACAATACCAAAGACACACATGAGAACTCTTGATGTTAGATGTCAGATATGAATCTTCTGTTGTTAATGAATCCCATGACATGCTTATTTCCCAGCAGTTTGAAAACACAGCAGCACCAGCCCTGTACTGTACTTCTGGGCTATTAGTCCTTAGTTGGAATTGAACCTTGTGTGTGGTAGAGTGCAAGGTTCGGTATCCATAATTATGGCTTTGGCCTCCCCATAGATTCCTACAATATAAGCCCAAGCCATTCTTATGCTAATCTAAGGAAGAAAGGCACCTGGAGCTTTTGCTGCATAGCATTAATAATGATATGGGGACTTCTCAAATTCTTTCTGAGGCATGTTTTGGACAACTGGCAATTACTGAACTGGCTGCTAGCTGCTGTCATCTTACCCATGTTCAGGTGTGCCTGCAGGCAAGAGTCTTGGCTAAACTTGCTCTCCCAGATGGCCAGAAAGGAGGCTAGCAAAGAGCAATTGGGTTAGTGCTATACCTTTTCCAGCTGAAGTGTACCTGCTTTGACTCAGAAATTTACTGGCTTTTCACATGCTGATCCTTTTTCTTACTGCGTGAAACATAATCCTTTTATCACCTGCCCCTGCACATACTCTCATCCTCCCTCTTTCCTCTCCCCTCCAGTACTGGTTCTCCAGTTCCCCTGGAGACCTCACTGACTCTTCTTGTACAGTCACTTTTCCCCCCACAGTCATGATTGTGGCTAAAATCTATGATTTTTAATCCTATTTCTAACTCTTGCAAGTGCTTCATTAGCTTGCCCTACTTTTCTTCTTCGGCTGTTTTAAAAATCTTTGAGGAGATATTACTGAGTGTTCAGCATCAGTTCTAAGTGCAAATGAATATGCTTTACAAGCTAAATCTAGGCTGTTCTGGTGCTTTAAGGGACACACAGTGCTCTGTGTTGTCCAGCTTCTGAGGGAGAGGCACGAAAGAGACAGTAGTTGATAGAAGAGTGGAATAGCATTGTGATCCTGTCCTTTTAACCCAAGAGGTTTGTGCACCTCAAAGAATAACTTTTGTGTAATTTTTTTTTAAAAAGAATGTGGAAAGTAAATGATGCATTTTTAATAGATCAGTGTACTGGATAATCAAGCTGTGCTCTTCTGACTGTATCTGTATTCATTAATAGCAGAGAGAAATTGGAGTTACTGACCGAGCAGAAGAGGTTGGTTCAGTGATCTGACGATGCATTCGCACATTGTGTACACAGTTCTCCTTCGTTCCCGCCTGAGCATCTAATGGAATATCAGGGGAGGTGTGGCTGATCTTCATGGAGGACTCTGGATAGGCTGTAGGCTGACCCAGATAATCCTCGCTGTAGTCATGGTCATTGGTCTCTGTATCTGTGTAGTTCAGTGATTCTTGTTTGTTGTCTTTGTTCCCAAATGGCAGACCACGCTCTCGCCAAGGGATCCAACAAAGCTTCCAGGACACGAACAGAGAGACACCAAATAGAGCAAGACCACAGGCTGTGACAACTAGGGAGAGCAAGCTTATTGAGATATCTGCAAACAAGAAAAACACATGCATGTCACATCTTTGTGCTTTTTGGAGCTCTGCATCTCCAAGGCATACAATATGGGAAGTAAACATCTCTGGATTGCAGATCTACAAAAATTAAATTCTGGTCCCTGCAACAGTCATATAATAGAAACTTATTAAATGTTCTATTCTTTTTTTTTTCCCCAATAAAAAAAAAAAAATTTAACCTTGTTTGGAGCTCAGTATAAAGCTCATCTTTATAGACCTTAGTTTATATTTACTCTCCAAAAGCTGGGTGGGATGAAGGGTCATCCTAAATATAAAAAGGGCTGTTCACTTGTTCACTCAACTTTCTACTAATGGAAGAGTAGTGCCTGCAGTACGTTTTTTCTTTATTTTCCTTCTATGTAGTGCAGTTTCCTCCACCTCCTTTACCAGATCTTACTATCTTCTCTTCCAGAGACTATATTATACTTACAAAACAACCATGAACATATGCACACATGCACATACGTGGCATGAATTTTTTTTTTAGGTATTTAACTGAAGTATCTTGTTTCATCACTTTATTTCCATTCCTTCTAATCTTAGACTCATTGTTATCTTTGCAAATGACTTTTGACTATCAATACATGTCTTGCTGTTCATCATTTAGTTTAGGTACCAATATCTCTTCAAAACTGAGGTTTTTCTTGGTTTTAACTCCAAAGGCTTTTTTGCTGTTTCCAAACTTCTGGTATAAAAGGAATGTGGAGATGAGTTTTCTGTTATTTTTCCCCACATTCCTAGCATTATCCTACTCCATAATCATATCAACACAAATAAGTTACAACTGGGAGAGGGTTTTTCTCTGTTTTGCTTTGTTTTAAGTTGCACGTTGGGAAAATGACTCAGTGGAACAGCTGTTTTTATGGTTACAGTGTTTTTGAAATGAGTTGCTCTGTGGATTACACAGTACATCATGCCTTAAACACAATTAGTAAGAATTCTATTTTACTGCCTCAAATTATAAACACAACCTTATCAAAGCAATTTTTCACACTGCGTGTAAGTTCAGAATGTCAGGCTGCATCTTTCTAACTAACAGCTAACCTAAGTTTTCAAAGGATGGCATGAGGTTGAAATGTACTGCTCCTACTAGGACAATTATGTAAGAATGACAATTCAGATGAAACAGCCTCACTCAATTTGAAAAAACAAAATAATATTTTTCAAAAAAGTGGAAAAGTCAATACCTTCTGCCCCTGCTGTGAGTCCCATTCTCACTAGCCAGACAGATTAAATTTCTGGAGAGGGGGGAGTGAGACTACAATCAGTTTCATGCAGGAGCTGTCCAGTTTATTTTGCATGCTGAAAACCAATTTCAAACAATTTTAGCCAGCATGGCCCTTTCTGTCCTTCTCCCAGTCGTATGAAGACAAAGCTTATCACCAGTGGGGACAGCACAGCAGCTGTCTGGAATTATAGCAAAGAGTTTCAGAGCTGAAATTTAATTAAAGACATTCCTCCCATGCATAAAAGCCAGTTTGGGAGAAAGTAGAATGGTGGTTCTTGAAATTTTTGGAATATTTACTGGTAAACAAGTCTGGCAGTGGAGGCAGAGCACAATCTCTCGGTTTGATTAAAAAGCAGAAGAACTGGGATGCAGTAGTGAAAGAAGAACTTCAGAATAAAGCAATTCGTCTTGGATTCCCTGGAGAAGGAAGAAATACATCAGAGGTCTGCAGAAAGGTCACTTTTTCAAAGAACTGATTCAAGTAAATGATCCAGCATTGAAAGAAATGAGAAACTGGGAGTTGTCAGAAGATTACAAAGTGAGAACTGGAGAGTGCCCAATGCCAAGGATGTGTGAAGGTGAGGAACAATTTGACAGGTAGACCAACAGCCCCCTACCTTGAGGATTACTTTAGCAGAGGACACAGTCACCTAGAGAACTGACATCGTGGGAAAAAATACATAAGAGCAATATGAACTACTTTTCATTTGGAGAGTTTGAAGGGCTTCAATAACATACCTCTGCATTTAATAACATAAGACTGAGAACCCTTATCTCACAGCTTACTTTTAGAGCAGCTGGATAATAAACAGTTCGGGTAACTCGCCAAGTCACAGAATAAGAAGGGATTATTTTTCATCATGTTGGTTTTACTTCTTTCTGACTCGTTAGGAACATTTTTTGTGTGAAATTTTCGTTTCTGTGGATGGAAAAGAGACAGTCATGTATCTGTCTTACTTCTATGAAAGACAGTGGGGCTAACGGGCAGTGCTCCAAACTGTTACCTTTCATTGGACGGTAATGTTCAGATACTGCACACCTCGCTGGCAATTTTCAGCAACTGGGCAGATCCCGTGTGAATAGCTGGGGTGAGTGCAGTCCCAAGTGAAGAGATTTTTGGCTGCATCCTGGAGCTGCTTTCACACTAGCCTTTTGTACTGTTACACACTGTATTTTCTGTATAATTTTTAGTCCATCTTTCCAGACGTCTCAGTTTTTCTAAACCTGTTTATCTGTATTCCCATGTGGTAGCAGTACTCATCTGATGCCAGTGATTTCCTCTGCTTTGTAATGAGAGCAGGAAAAGTCTTTTCTTGTTTGTCCTGTGCTGGTTTTGGCTGGGATAGAGTTAATTTTCTTCATAGAAGCTAGTATGGGGCTGTGTTTTGTATTTGTGCTGGAAACAGTGTTGATAATTCAGGGATGTTTTAGTTATTGCTGAGCAGTGCTTACACAGAGTCAAGGCCTTTTCTGCTCCTCACGCCACCCTACCGAGAGTAGGCTGGGGGGGGCACAAGAAGCTGGGAGGGGACACAGCCGGGACAGCTGACCCCAACTGACCAAAGGGATATTCCATACCATATGACATCATGCTCAGCATATAAAGCTGGGGGAAGAAGAAGGAAGTGGGGGACGTTTGGAGTGATGGCGTTTGCCTTCCCAAGTAGCAGTTATATGTGATGGAGTCCTGCTTCCCGGGGGGTGGCTGAACCCCTGCCTGCCAATGGGAAGTAGTGAAGGAATTCCTTGTTTTGCTTTGATTCGCATGCGTGGCTTTTGCTTTACCTATTAAACTGTCTTTCTCTCAACCCACGAGTTTTCTCACTTTTACTCTTCTGATTCTCTCCCCCATCCCACTGAGGGGGGAGTGAGTGAGCGGCTGGGTGGGACTGAGTTGCCAGCTGGTGTTCAACCACAACAGTCCTTACAAAATCAGAGATCTGCAGCACAGAAAGTGTTCCTCAAAAATCCAGCTGCTTCTCAATTCACTCTGCTTTCACCAGAATTAGTGCAATGTGTTTCCCAGAGAAGTATCTGGTGTAAGTTTAAACTGCAACTGTGAATCAAAGTGCAGGCAAGCACTATAGGCAAGGCTGAGCAGTTTACAGGTAGGCATGGACGTTGGGAGCAGTGAGAAATGGTGCTGATTATTTCAGAAGGAAGTTTTTTCAGTAGCATTGCAACATATAAACTTAGTGTGCACATTTCGCCATGTTTTTGATGATCATCTGTGCTCACTTTTAGCATTTGGCCAGTTCCATTAGTGTCTAACTAATACATCTACTCTCTGTACCTACTCTACATTGATACAAGCTCTTGATGCTCTGCAATGGAGAATCTGTGACATAGGTACTTGCATTGATCTCTTTCCTGGAGCAACCATGATGCCAGTCAAGTGTCCTGAGGTGTTGATATGAATCCAAGTCAAAATTTCATAACTATAGCTTCTTGATCATGGCTGCAGCATGACCTGAGCTCCCAAATTCCAGCATATCAGAATACCTGGACAGTATTATAACGTATTAATAATGGGTAATGTGTTCCATAAAAAGTAAGACCAAATTTTTTGTTAAAAACATGTACTTTTAAAATGGATTAAAGGAACCTATCAATGCAATTGCATATACATACAGTTAATTTTTATAAGCACATCCTCTGCAATATGCTTTCATACACCAGTAAAGGACGCCTTTTGACAGACAAAAAATAAGACAGAGGGAGTCCAGAGGAGGGCCATGAAGATGATCAGAGGGCTGGAGCACCTCTCCAAGGAAGACAGGCTGAGAGAGTTAGCGTTGTTCATCCTAAAGAAGAGAAGGCTCCAGGGAGACCTCATAGCAGCCTTCCAGTACCTGAAGGGGGCCTACAGGAAAGATGGAGAGGGACTTTTTACAAGGGCATGTAGTGATAGGACAAGGGGTAATGGCTTTAAACCGAAAGAGGGTAGGGTTAGATTAGCTATAAGGAAGAAATTCTTCCCTATGAGGGTGGTGAGGCACTGGAACAGGTTGCCCAGGCAAGTCATGGATGCCTCATCCTTGGTCAAGTGTTCAAGGCCAGGTTGGATGGGGCTTTGAGCAACCTGGTCTAGCGGAAGGGGTCCCTGCCCATGGCAAGGGAGTTGGAACTAGATGACCTTTAAGGTCCCTTCCAACGCAAACCATTCTATTTTTTTATGATCTTCAGGGTGGCCCCAGATTAGACATTCTTAGGACTAGGGAGCTTCATCTGATTTTTTTACTATTAAGACTGTAACTTCATTGTTAGAGGACTTGAAAGACAATGCTGTTATTTACACGCAGTTGTAACAACTCAGGTACCCCAGCTGTGGTTTGCAGTAAGGCCATGGGCACATAGGCTCTCTGAATATCTTGCTCATGGCATGTCTTACACATATTCTGATGTACTCATCAATTTTTGACCAGGTTATCATGTTTGAATCCCTTCTACTCCACTTTCAATTTCTTATTAATCTCCTATGCTTATCAGCATAATAAGTGCATTTGTTCATTTTTTGGTAGCAATCACAAGGTTAAAAACAATGCAGAAATACAAGTGAAATAACAGAGTTTTCTACCAACAGATCACATCATCAGTTATTATAACAGACTGGAGAGATGAGCATGGCCTTTCTGTGACAGATTTTATTACAATCAGTTCTATGACAGCATATCAAAAAGCTCAGTTTGCTTATGGAGTCATTGCTGGATCTTTTTTAATTTTTTACTTAAATTTTAAAGTAGGTAT